TCCATACCGTGCGTGTTTTATGTGTGTATTTGTTTCAACCATTGTTTGTTGTTTTCATTCAGTGTTTTTTAAACTTTAGTTTAGTGTACTATATTTTATTTATATTTTTATATTCATAGGATATTCATATATTTCACTTTATATCTACTTACTAAATAGATTCTTTCTTCGGACAATAAAGTCTTATTATTATAAAAAAAGAATAGATAGACAAATATCAATGATACATCTCTCACATGATATAATGACAATATTCTGGTGTATAGAAAACCTGCTAGTATTGATGATTTTTTTCATCTAGTTTCTGAAGTCATTCGCATTGGAATGGAAAGAGTATTTATGAGGTCTATTGAAAAAATTGATGAATTTTCAAATTTCGCGGACTATCTACGAGTACAATCGATTAACGACTTTTTTAATGTTTTATGAAAAAACGATTTTTTTTGAGAAAAAGAAAATTGACCTCATTTTTTGAACAGAATAGTATATTTCCTGGATATTACATATGTTTCGTTGTTTTTTGAATTGAAATTGATAATTCATGAACATATAAAGTGATGAAGGTAGAAATTTCGTGGTATGTTCCGAGAAAGTAAGTCTTTGTAGTTTGTTAATATCTTGACTTTTTTTGGACGAACAAATCAGAGCTGCAGAATCAATTGCAACTCTCGTACCAATGCCATATCCAGAAAAGCTGAATCAGCTTTGTAAACTGTCTCTTCGAGGATCAGTTTCTCACATATTGTTAATAGCTAACATATATCAGTGTGAAAATGTCACTTTACTTTATATCTATGAATACTTACGTCAAAGTCATTTTGACGATCAGATGCATCAGTCCAAAAAGTAAATATCTCTTGGCATAACATCTCAAGAGTGTTCTAAAGATGGAAGGATTTTTTGGATTTCTGTGATAACATGCTAATAGCTCTTCTCCCAGTTTCTTGGAGGAAAAATTCGTCAGATTTTCATATACGTCATGCTCTTCCAAGTCTTTTCTGATACTTTTTTTGAAAAATGGAAAGGTGAATCTGGAAAGATAGGAATTACATGAGAATTTATCACTGTTGGCGATGAGCAATCGAAAACTAGACGAAATACGAATAATTTCCTTTATATCAATTGTTGAAAAGAATATGTGCCTCCGTTCTTCTTATTATTGAATCGCATACTTTATTCGTACTACAACAAAGAAGTGTTTATACTCAAGTCACATAAGGTATTAGGTTTTTCGGAAAGTTTTGTCCGTTTTAATGAATCTACTTCAAACTGTATTGTTTCAATGAATAATCATTCAGTCCAATCGAAATAAATGCCAATTGATTCAGTACACATTTGCCAACGTATCACAAGTCCAATGATTCCGTTAGAAAAAAAATGTGTGCTCAGGATCCGACGAAGTCGACGAAGGCCATTTTTGCCTGGTCCTGATTGGCGAAGATTCTACCGGTAAGAAAGTTATCGAAGTGCTTGAAAAAATGGTAGTCGGTTAGCGAGAGGTCTGGAGAATATGATGGTTGAGGCAGAACTTTGACGGCCAATTCGTTCAATTTACGGACAGTGACAGTAGCAGTACAACCTGTTGCTGGTGAATTTCGTCGATGTTCTCAAAGTAGGACTCTGCTGTGATGATTTGGCCCAGTTGCAGAAAGTTATACTGAATCAGACTAGCCGCCGACCACCATACAGTAACCATACTTTTTTTTGGTGGGTTTTCGCCTTTGGAAAGTGCATGAGTGGCTCATCGGTATCAAACTAATGTCCTAAACGTCTTCTGTTGTCGTAGAGGATCCACTACCCACCATACGTGACGATCCGATCCAGAAATATATCGTTTTGGTTACGCTGAAGTAAAGAAGGACAGACCTGGAAACGTGACAATAAATATTTAATGGTTTATGGAGCTACCAATACACATGACAATAAAACGAACGAAACTTTTGAAACAGCATTTAAGTATCAAAGCAGTCGTGTTACCTCTGTCAAACTGTGAATGATCTTCAATACAGCTCTTAATTAAATTTGTAGCAGGTTCAGAGAACCCGATAAAGTATCAAAAGACTTGGAGAAGTCTATGAGTATTAAAGCAGTCGTGTTACCTTTGTCAGCGGCTTCGAAAATATCATAGTTATTATGAAGAAAGCAGTTGTACAACTGTGTTCTTTACGAAATCCTGATTGATTGATTGGTAAAATATTAAAGGAATTTGAATAGCATTTGATTTGGAAACTCATTATTTGAACATAGTTTTGTACAAGTACGTAGCAAGCTTATGGGGCGCAGATCGTTGAGAGTATTTGGATTAGATAATTCAGAAAGAGCCACTATTTCAGAAATCTTCCACATTTCAGGAAATATATTATTTTGCAAACATGAATTTATTATATTAGCCGCGAGTGGCGATGTGTTTGTTCCTAATGAAAATTGCCCGTCTTAGGTGCAAAACGTAATAGTTAATCCAAGTTTGTGATAGGTATGAATGCCCAATTTTATAATCAAAAGATGAAACATAACTACTTATATAAAAATATACAACACGGACATGAATAGCCCCCCTATCCTAATTTTTGAACAGAAACAAGTATTTCCCAAAATGCTATCGATAATTTTTCTCTAGTAGATAACCTTCTTCGAAATATTAGGGGAAAATTTCTGCAAACATGAAGTGCACCCCTCCTGACTATGGAATAAGATATCAAGTTTGGAGAGTTTTTGCGTGAAAAGATAATTTTCAGTACTTGGTGATTGGAAAAACAATAATATTGCAGCATTTGTCCCCAAGAGAGCGTTATGAATTTTTTTTCAAGCGACGTCCTCTGATAACTCGTTTCATAACTATCTCAATTCCCAAACTACTTAACTTGGATCTACGCCGCGGTAGCCTGGATTGGTTTCACACATAATCTGGACTTGCATCCAATTTCGAAATTTACAAAATAAATCAACCCATTATTATGCAGTTTCAATTGTTTGGAGTTTTCAAATTTTTTGAAATTCATGCGCAAATGAGTGTCAGTCCTAATTTGCATTCCATTTTCTTATCAAGTAACGCATACCTACTAATCACATTCCAATTTCTTCTTCCAACGGTGGTAATTGATTTGAGACATTATCAGTGCTCGTCTAAAATTAATTACCACCGTTGGAAGAGGTCAACTCTGATGCAAGATGCCACAAAACAATTCAAAGAAATAAGAAGAGAAACTTTGGAAGACGATCATGGACCAATGTTTGCCAAGATTGAAAGAACGTGCTTGAAGATCCGCCAAAAAATGGAAAATTCCCACAACAGAAAGTGGGGAACGTTGTTGGAAACAATGCTCAAATGCAGACCGAAAACAGGACAACTACGAAGCCGCCAACGTCATCAACATGAGTTCCCATCCGCTCACGGAATTCTTGTTGAGGAAAGGTTGAAACTTCGCCATTGCGCCAACATCTGTGTACACTTAGGAGATAATCACTGCATTGGAATCCACCAGTTTTCTTATTGATCAGACCAAGGCAAAATAATTTATATGGAAAATCAGAGAACAGCTGGATCAAAAACCAGGTTCAACATCTAATATCATCGATGAAGAACGAAGAGCTCTGAACGGCCTGCGTAGAGATAACATCATCAAGATATTTCCAGTACATAAGGAAAATGCTGCTGTTGTGATGGATACTGATGTCTACGAAAAGAAAATCGAAAATGTTCTTCAGAAAGGACAGTATTCGAAGATTGTACGGGACCCTACTGCATCAATTAAAAGGAAACAAAGATTAACAGGCGACCTTCTATTGTATGTCACCCATATTTGGGAGACAAATACAAGTACTACATGATTTTCCTGAAGTTCTTGTATTTTTTTCACATTATATTACATATTGTATATTAATTTCTCAACTAGACAGAGCAGACAAAACAACTAAGTAGTTAAGAAAATTCAACTGTCTATTGCATAAGGACTATTAATAAGTAGCTACACCTCAAATGTATAAAAATGATGTCTCCCGCAAATTTTGAGCCAGCAGCAAGATAGGGTACTGTATTATGGGGATTAGCAGGGAGATTAATTTTCAAAAAAGGTGATTATAATATAATAATAATCCAAATCACTTTTGAAGAAGCTACTGTGTTAGCAAAACGTGTCATGATATATTTTACAAATAAAGTTTGTGGACATCAAATCGTGAGATTTAGTTTATGAGATTATAATGATATTGAAGATACAGAGAATCACGTTGAGTAGTATTTATCAAATAATATAATGACCATTATTGTAACATATGTTCACGAATGTTTGATGTTTTTTTCTCCAACTTTGAAGACACAGTTATTGGAAAACATATGCAGTGCAATTATAACAGAATAACCAGAGGTATCAATTACCCAATTCAAAGACTCCACAACAATATTTCCACGAAACTATTCAACAAACTATATGACGTACTGAAATCAATTAGTAGTCTTAATAAGTTTAAAGAAGAAATGAAAAGCTTGCTGAACTCTTCAACATTGAGGAATACCCAGAATATAATTTTTGATTGTAAATATGTACATATACGTATTTGTGAAGTCATTCCATTATATGCTTTCTGTATGATTATTTTCACTCTAGTGTCATTAATGTGTTCTGGAATAAGAATAATCATGAGGAATCACACGTTAAAAGGTAAGAACTCATTAGTCCTTCGCTCGCAAAAGTTTCGAATTTTGAGATATCTTCTTCATAGGGAGGGGATAGCTATTGACGGTAAAACAGATTCTTACAGGAAAAATATTCTGGAAGCTTTCGGACTTATTTACTTCACTCAGCTTTCCTCAGTAGGAAAGTGTATTATAGTAGTCTAATTGTGACTGGCGTTCATACATGTTTCCAAACATTCTCTGATATCCACACTTTGCTACACCATACTGACGAAGGCGCGTTTATTCGAAACACATGTATATGCTTTGATTTTGAGCTGACTGTAACAAATAAAACTACTACCACTATTCCACTGAAGGCATGCTGTTCAAATGACTCACAACACCAATAATGTAACGAGCCATTCCTTGTTGACTCTCCAATTATGAAAACAACCCAAAATTTCAACTTACGCAAACGTTATAATTGACAGAATTGACGCATTCTGTCTGGGATTTCGTGGTCTTTCTTGAATACCACTCGCATCCATGTTTTGAAAGTAACTAACAAAAAGAACCTACGTCTGAATTTATCACACGAGTGATAAGGCTTTTTGGTAATACTTATTTTCGAAAAATATACGTCTAATTATTATTTTTATCAATACCGTTCAATAATGAAGCAGCATATCGACAAAGAATGTGAAGCAGCAAATAATTTCGAAAGGCCATCTCCTACAACCAGGACCGGATCTGTGAGACAAAGGGCCATGTCAAAAAGATATTTGGGAAGTTTGTGGGAAGGACAAATAACATCAAGGTTTGAGACTTCAGAACCAGAAGTGGAAATTCAAGAAAATCTCTGATGTCACTATATTTGGGTCATGAAAAATGTCAGATTTGAATTATGGAAAAACTATGCTGTTTTTCTATCACGGAACTCAGCGTTCTCATCTGAAATCTTGTGATTGTGATATATTTTTCAAATAAAGTTTGTGGAGATCAAATCATCAGGTGTAGTTTTTGAAAAATTCACTTTTTTCTAACGTTTTCAAATACTCAAAATTTATGACTCCTCAAAAAAGGACGACTTTTCTTCAATTGATGATTAAGAATGTGATAAAAAAACACTTCAACGTGGGACTTTTACTTGACAATAACATCTTCAGTATTATAACACCTGGAGATACTATCAGTATCATGACACCTGGAGATACTATCAGAATTTGACGCCTGAAGATGTTATTGTATAGCAAAACACAGCTGATGAACTAGAAACACGTGTCTGTGGTTTGCTTATTTTTGAGTGCCGTGAACTGTCAAGTAAAAATATCATATTGAAGTTTTTATGAAAACATAATCAATGAGGTTAGCTCATTATTTTAAATCTAAATGTTTTCTATAGTTTCCTTTAGTCTGGAAATATTACTCTCATACTTAGACAGTTTTGAGTATAATGGGCGAGATGGTCAAATCATCGGTGATGTAATGTGACCTCTTGAAAGTCTTCAGTTGGATTTATTACGAATGAAGTAAGAGGTGTTTCGATATTGTTCATCAAATCGTATTCAACACATCGTTTTCAAGCCGTAGAACTCAAAGTCGTGATCGAGGTATTCTTCAGGGATAGATTCTAGGGCCACTATTTATTTGGATTCATATGAATGGCCTACTAGGGTCACTACTTATTTCAATTCATATGAATGATTCGTACAAATTCAAACAAAACACACTGACAAGTAATATCTTCCACAGAAAATTCTCTATTGGAGAACAAATATATCAAGTTATCAGGAATCACAAATGATTACGAACTGAACTGGAATAATTGAGCAACTGAGAAGCAACATTTTGTAGCGTATTGAATTACATTGTTGCGTTTGACACTTTGCTACCTACTTTGCTCTTTTCCATTCATTATTCACTTAACAGAATCTCAATCTGGGGTAACTCCCCATATGCCCAAATTTTTCACTGACAGAAAAAAGCAATCAGAATTCAAGAATCCTGCCAGCCACTCTTCATCAATTCCAAAATTATGACTTCATCATCATACTTGTATTATTAATTTCTTCTGAAATTTCATAAATATTCAATATCCCTATTTATGAAATGCCAAATTCACCAACACGATATGAGAGAGACATGCGGATCTAATATAAAAACTCCTTCACAAAATTAAGCATTTTGAATGGAATGAATATACTGAACGTACTCACAGTAAATTCATGATTGTGTCAAACATCTCACGACCGACTCTGGACCCGATGTTAGGAACCACTTGACCCATCACTTATCTATGAATGATAATGAGCCATAGACATCATTCTACCAAGTTGTTTGTCTTCAAACCACTTGACATGGGCAAAAACCATCGACTTCTTCAAACGTTGGGTTGAAACTTGCAGAAAGGTCTCATTCAACTCTTACAGTTACAAAACATACGGGGAAAGAAAGCAACTCTTGATTATATCAAAGCTTATGGCATAGAAATTCCTTAGTCTGCTTTTACAATACCCAGCGGTTACCATCTACCAACGACAACCCTGAGGAGTCGAAACTATGCAAACCCAATGCAAGTTTATTTTTTACTAGCTGATACAGCTTACTTTTCAAAAAAAGGAAAGTAAAATTGAAAGTACGCATAGTTTTTGTTGGGCAAAAATGAACATTTTTTTGTTAATAATTCGAGTGACGGAACATTTTGAAGTTTGTGCTGATTATTTCCTTCAACCCGATATAATAATGAAAAAGTTGGAGACTAGGTTACTAAAACAGTCCTACAGCAATAAAACGCTTTACCCCAAAAGCTATAAAACTTACAGCCTGAAATTATCATCATATAACAATTTCGATCACTGTCAAATTGAATCAATTGAATCAAATATTCAAATATGCTTCTACAGAAATTCATAGGTTTAATTTCATATTATGATTATGACAGTGATTAGACTCTAACTCAACTTTGACAACGCAAATGAATATGTAAATCAAATGAAATTCATGAATACAATCAACAAATACAACATACTCAAATGAAAAAAGAGTTGATACTCTTCTGTGAATCACATATTCCCAAAAACATGAGACAACAATCCTTCAATATAAACTATACATTGAAAACCAAGCATCCATATATAATATTCAGAAATTTCAAGATCATAATCGCAACTCAATCATAAAATAAGATAGTTTCAAGTAAAAGTTCAATGAAATCAAAAAAATAGGCAACGTGGGAACTCGCCGCTTGCACCTATTCATCCTCGACCAAATAAATCCAGCTTCATAACGAAACCAATTAGTTTGTATGGTGAGTGGTCGGATGATAAGAGTACGGCTCTGTCGAACTCCAAAAACCTGATTCGGTCCCCAGCGGGGCAGGCACAAAGTATATGCTCTGCTGTTTCATCATTTTCCAAATAGAGGCGACATACACTGTATTCCGACAGTCCGAGTTTCTGCATATGATGATTCAAATGACAGTGACTGTAAGAAGGTTAGACATAGTTCTTTTCTACTGTAGTCCACCAACTGTTTGGTATCAAGCTTTGAAGGGTAAATAAACACCTTGGAGTGAGACAATCCTGGAAGATTCTGCCAGAAGTCCATAAATCTTCTTGCCATCCAGGTGATAATTGTTTGTTTGGCAAAGTCTAAAGTGATGCCAATGACAGGTTCTGATCCAATGAAGCTGCTTGTAGCAGCCTCTTGTGCAAGGGAGTCAGCAGCCTCATTGCCCTTCAAGCCAGTATGGCCAGGAATCCAGACCAGAGATAATTTGTTGAGTCTTACTATCGAGAAGTGTCGTTTTTGGCCATTTGCTACCAATTAGGACGTTGCTCGATAGGAGCCAAGAGCTTCCAATGCCGCATGACTATCCAAGAATATTTTTATTGACTAGCTCTGTCCTGGGTCTGCGACTAAAAGCACCTGCACCAGAACCGGAAAGTGTTTTTGATCACAGGTGAGTCTTTTATCAAGGACAATGCCAAGATATTTCACCTCCGTTCCAAATGGAATGACCTGATTGGGAGATTTTCTCTACTATGTTTTTTAATGGAAATCTGTCCTTTCAGCAGGAATGGTGTAAGAATGAATGATCGTACCGATTCAGGGTGTGGGTCTCTCCGACCCACTTTAAGTATATATACCACCCTTGCTGCCAACCAACTGGATGGAATATTCATTTCAACAACAACAATGAAATTATATTATGTACACTATTCATATTTCACGTTACTGGAGTAACGTGAAATCCGTTATCCAGTGAACGACTGGATAACGTCCTTTCTTGAAGATCGGAAGATCATCGTGAGAATCGGTGAAACCAAATCGAAGGAATACGATTTAGATCTTGGAACACCGCAGGGAAGTGTCATGGGTCCCTTGATCTTCCTTACCTATGTCAATGACTTGCCTCATAACATAAAGGACGGTAGAGTTTTCATGTATGCTGATGACACCTCTATTGTGGTGTCTGACACTGATCGCCAAAGACTACAGCAGAAAACTGACTCAGTTTTGAAAGATTTTGCGGATTACTGTATGCAGAATACACTAATAATGAATCAAAGTAAGACAGTAATAATTGAGTTTCACACAAAANCTATTAAGGTGCTATTAAAATCAACTGGGATATTTATTTCATTAACATATGTTGAAAATTTGACATTGAACCGAGAACAAGCGTGATCCATCCCAATTCTTTGATGCCTAATTGTAGCAATGGTATTTCTATTACACAACCAGATCAATTAACAGTAACAGCCGCTACCAAAGCGAATCAACCGTAACTATTTCAGATGTTGCTCACTTCAATTACTTTATTACTTTATACGGTGACTATATGTTCTCTAAAATGAATTCTTACAGAGGCGTAGGTGACTAACTGAAGATATCCAATCAGGCATTTCAAAAGCTACAGAAGTTACCTCACTACTGTTTTCAATCTTTTAACTGACAAACATCACTGATAAATTGACAACCACAGCACTTTACTTCTACTATCACAAATTAATGGATCACATTGAGGCAGGCGAATGCCTTGTTGGGAGTTTTTGTGATATCAGCAGGGCATTTCACTGTGTAAATCCTACAATTATTTTGGATAAACTCCACCACTATGGTGTGAGGGGCACACCTTTAGATTGGATACGCTCATACCTTTGTGACAGATGGCAGTATGTCTCAATTAAAGACGATTCATCTGGGAACTTAAAAATGACTTGGGTGTTCCACAGGGGTCAGTACTTGGTCCTTCCCAATTCATGATTCACATCAACGTCATTGATAAGCTCCCTGTGCCAGCATCCTTCACTATTTACACAGATGACACCTCACTATTGATTTTCAGCGCCCGAGAAAGTTCATAACTGAAAACTTTGACGAACCTTTATCCGTAGTTGATGTTTGGTTTTTGGCGAACCTTCTTTTTCTGAATATTAATAAAACAAAATTCGAATTCAGAAGTTCGTGTCGAAGAAAGTCGTTGCAGTGAGGCATTCAAATCCCATTTCAACATTAGGGGAAATTCTATTCAGGTTATTAGGCTGTTTCA